GCAGCTACCCACGTGTTGACATTTTGGCTCAGTTGAGGAGGGTTGCTAGTTGAAGTTAGCCAACATTTCTTCATAAAAAAAAAGAGAAATTTCCATTACCCTTCTCGTTCCCCAAGAGCGAAACGGGCAAATTTAATTTTCCAACACACTTCTCTTTCATGACATATCAAAAATGTCCGTCTATACTTCGTACAAACCTGAAAGGCATGGCTACGGGGTGGATTGAACAATCCATTTTCAAACTCTTGAAGCCGTTCGCGAAATGTGTATGTCCCCTCCCAGACGTGTTGCAATGTTGATATTTGAGCTCCGCCCACTCTAATTCCCGCTACCCTGGATTTACGGTTTGTGTATTGCAAACCGTTTTAGTTTCGATAGTCCTGATATTCAATTCTGCTAACCCCTTGCAGTGTTGCATAGCAGGAGACATCTCTAAAAAGAGAACATTCCAGACAGAGTCTGGTATTATAAATCCCATTGTTTGGGGAGTTTTAGGCGCGAATGAAATGAAATGAAATGAAATGAATGAAATTCTTGGCCCTATCAAGACACATATCTATACTTTACAAATTCTGCATTGAAACATCCTTGTGGTGGAGTAATGTCATGTGCGAATGCGCAATAGTTAATTCCGTAGAAAGTCTGAATGGATTTTCTTTTCATGAGAATTCTTGGCCCTAATCCTCTGATCGTTGGTCCTGTAACTTGCTCATTCCCTGGCAAAATTCTTGACTATCAGTCTTGTATTCAACTGGCCTGCGAGTTATCTTGCTGCCTCGTTAGTGAGAAATACACGCCGCATTTTTAAGACCGAGACTCGGCCATGCCGTGCGAGGCTGACACTCGGGTTTTCATATCCTTCGGAAAGATTCGAACCGTGCACCTTGCATTTGGAGGGGATTTTCTGAAATAAAAATTCGGAATTCCGACTTCGAAAACTTGAAGAACGAAACTTTCTAGCTACAAGTGTCGACAATGTAACTAAAAGGTTCAACGAATCAAAATTATGTCGACCGTGCGCGCATCCATTCCAAATCAGGCCCAACTCTGAAGAGAAATATTGCTGGTGGATTTTATCATTTGAGCTGGTCACTGGATTCTTGCAGACGGGCAAGCCGACGGTGATGACGACAGGGACCAAGGAATTGGGGCCGGTGGTTCTGAATCAATTATTAAAGGTGAGTCTTCATCCTGTAGGAATTTCAAAACTAATTGCTTCTGAAAAATTGATCGATGCTGGTTTCAAATGGTCAGACGACGACTGAAAGTCCGAAAGAGTAAAAGGGGAAATTGCCTGTATTTCTTTAGGTCTTTCTCGGAGTTGTTGCGCTATGTCCAAAATATAAAGTTGCTGAAGAAAACTGGAAGATTCATTGATGAGTTCATGATTATCTTCCGACTTATCTACTTCAACTTGTGATATACGAAATATTTAGTCCCTTTTATTGTATGTGTTGGTCATGTAAATTTAAATTTTCACAAGTAAAAGCGTCAAAGTTGGGTGTTTTTGTGTGTTTTTGTGTGTGTGGGGGGTTTTTTTTTGGGGGGGGGGGAGGAGTTCACAACATTATCAATGACCTATCAATGAGTTAGTGCCTCAAGTTACATTAACAGCAACAGCGCCCTCAGTTTTCTCGGAACTGTATTAGGATTGTAAATAATGCCAAAAAAAATCGCTTTAAAAATTTAACAAACACCACAAAATCTGAGAGTGTCTAATTAATAATCATACAGTTCAGACGAGTGCAATTGCCAAATTGCAGCTTATATTAAAAATTAATGGTCTGCACGGAGCTAGCCCTGCTCTGTCTCTAAGCGCTTGCAGTGCATACAAACTCGTCAGAGGAATAAGATAGTTCACCGTCCTTTCTTTGTATATGTAGCAGCTGGATTGAAGTTGTACATATCCATAATGCACAGTGTAAGACATCAAGTGTAGAACAAGTGCATAATATTATTTACATCGACGTATGAAACTCGGATGTTTTCGTCTATTCGGCCAGTAATGAAATGAATCAGGTGATCAATTAATTAAATGCTTTGGTTTGAAGAAAAAACACAATATCGCTTAAGGTAATGGTTAAAGGTTTTCTGGGGGGGGGGGGCGGAATTCAAAGAAATACCCACATTTTGGCAATCCAACCATTTCATGATTTTTTGGTAATGTTTCAAAACTTCGTTCATTGCATTCACACCGCCCTCACTTGACACGAAGCAGTTAACGGCGAGGTACTGACTTCTGTAATCACTCATTATTAGTGCAATTTTGTCATGGCGGTTAAGTACGTTATGGTGTTGTAATTTGTTCCCGCACTAATGGAAGTTGGTTTTTCATTTTAAAATGAAAAACAAGGTCGCATGGACAGCAGCATAATGACAGTTTAGCTGTGAAAACATTAGGCTATGGCAAATTGCACCAATTAAGAGATGTTTGTCACTGTACAGTCAATGAATTGCATATGTTGGTGGCGTTCAGATTCCGAATCGGTTTGAAATTCTTAATTGGGAGGCTGAAAAGCACAATTTGAAATGTTCAGTTGTCGCCAGCCCTCTGTTAGCAAACAAAACCTGGGTCTACGTCTCAGCATCGCTCACAATTGACGACATGTGATTACAGGCCGTTTCATGGTAACTCAGGTGTAAAGATAACCTTCAGAATTATCTGTTAGATGGGTCCGTTCCCATGGAAACACTTATGTCACGCGAGTCGGACGCACGGCATCTTCAAGTTGTAATCTTTGATTAAATTTTGCGTGGCTGGGCATTTCGTTTGAAGTCTACGTACGTAAGGACCTTACGGTAAGGCATGCGTCTGTTTGCATATATGGAAAGAAAAAAAAGTGCCACACTTCGGTTTATGCCAGTTGGAGGTCGTTGACTCGACTGCAGTGGAATGTTAGTGCATTTGTTCCTCGTCTACACATCTTGCATGACTGGAACTACGATTTGAAATAATTCCAATTACGTTATCCGAGGAAAGCGCACTGTGTTCAATATGTCATGTTGTCTGTAGTATGTATGGTGCTGCTTCCCATCTCATTACATATGTTTTTACTGTGCGCTATAATGTTATGGTGTTGGCAATTAATTTAATGTAAAGAATTTGTTGACAACTTCAGTTTTCCTTTTGAACTTAATTCAGTGGAATTCCAGTAAACGAATTTTTTCCCCTTTTTTTTAAGAATAACTGCCAAAAATGAATCTTAAATTAAAAAAGAGGGAATTCGGTTGACTATTATATGTCCGGTGGAGTGGATCTGGAGGGTTTCATAACTCAGAAACTGTTTAAATACAAAACAACGTAGTGCTCGCGTAACATGTAATGGCCGATGTAAAGAAAAATAGTGATAAAACTACGATCGTATAGCAAAGGCATAATGTTATGTTATGTGAAGGCATGTCTATATAACACCACGAAAGTAACAGTAATTTTAAGACGGAAAAGCAATCTTCATTTTTAAAAACAAAATTTATTTTAACTTCTGTCAATTATAAATAAGTTGATCAAGCCATGTACAGATCACATGCACCACGTCATATCGTCTCTTATTGCACAATACAAACCTCGTGATCGAGTAATACATGTTTTTCATAGAATATTACCAAAATAGTAAGAAATTGCATTTAAAACCTCAAAATCTAAGTTTTTCAAATGAAAGTACTAAAATATAGAAATTTGGTATCAAATACAGTAGATTTGTGACATCTCATGTTGTGTTAGTATATAAACAAAGTAGCTACTGTTTTGTTTGATGAGATAAATCTGCAATTTATGTTATTTTTTTTTAACTTCATCTTTTCTCAGTAGTCATGACAAACGATTCCAATGTCGCGGCCATTAAACATAGAAAAATGACAAATGACAAAAATCCCCAAAATACCAGACAAAATATGATATAAACATTAAAACAACGCTTTGGTATTTTTTTTTTGTCATGCGTCCAAAATATCAAAATATTGTTACTATGGTTACGCAATATAGAACCTCTGTGAATATATATATCGCCGGTTCCATTAACAATATCGATAAGAAACATGGTAAACAAAATAAGTGGAGTGTTTACTTTGTATTCATACACAATATTATAATATGTATAACAGTTACAATATCGAGTGCTAATACGGTACGATGTGCTTTTTTTACCAAGCCATTCGGTGCACGAAAACCATCCAAATCTGATGTCCCACTATCACTTTTTTTTTTTAAATAATGTCAATTGTGGCAACATTCGTTCATATCATTCTGTAAATTAGACTCCAAACGTTACATTCACAAAGGTATCCTCTTCATTATAAATTCATCTTGCAGCGAAGAAATCGTGGTGCAATAAGGGTGTCAAATTTTTTTTCGTTATCAGATTTTCAGTGAAGGGTTTCTCATATCTTTTTTTGAAATATCAATCATTTTATCTCCCATGTGGAAGCAATGCAAAGCAACCGTTACAGAACCCGTTCCTTCGCTACAAAATATTTTCCCTGACATTATGAGCCAAATGCGAATCGGGGACATTCCACACTGTTGACTCTTGAATGTCATAAACAAGTGTGTCAATTCATATACCATGCCACCGCTATCCAAAATAGAATTTCGCATATCGCATGAGTGCATTCTCTCTCTGTTGGATTGTTGAATGAAATGGTCGTTCATAACATTCTTTACGTTCATTCAAGTCCAATCTGGCGCACATTCCAACGGCTGTTCTATGAAGTCGTTGAAATCAACACGATTTTTAAAAGTTTTTGGGGGTAAAACAGCCGTATGGACGTCATTAAAAAAAAGTATTGGTAACAAGACTCGTATGCCTGTACTATAATGCAAAACCATTTTTCATATCAAACCTGTCACGGTCCTTTCATTATCACCAAGTGAAGTCTCTCGATATAAACAGGAATACTGCAAGGCTCTTTGTAAGAAACTGATGCAAGTTTAGGGACTGACAGAGTCAATAGTGGAATGTGTTTTCTCCATCAGATAGGAAACGTTTGGACTTTCAATCTTCCTCATACATTCCTGCCATGCTGTGTGTAGTGGCACAAAATATTTGCCCCTATTTGCCCTCCTCATACCGCATGTGATCTAGGATCAAGACAAAAATAGCACTTAACACAGATTCTCGGTATAAGTCACTCGTTAATTTACCAGTCTACTGCTTATAAGTCATGTCAATAACATGAACAATTCTGAATGCTTATACATATTCAACTTAAAAAAATATGATACTTAGATTGAGAAAGAATGTAAAAATATTATCATTGTGAAAATTATTTACTCGATTTTTGTACATCTATATATTTGATATCAATATTAATATAAAAAGCCAATTGAGTCAAAAGGGCTCAGTGAGATAGCACAGCCGCTTTGGCTGAGTTGCATTCTGAAAAATGTAAAAGTGACTTTCCCTCGGCGCGAGAAAAATGACAAGATTTGGCTAACAACTGAACCTTTTGTACATGAACTGTTGCTTCAGTTCGAGTTGCTATGGTTACAGCGACCAAATTAAAGACAATAATTAGTGAGTATTTCATGATTATCTTTATATGGAAGTTCATTGTTTTTTGTCATCATCAACTAGCTGGTTGTGACCCAGACGTCTCTCTGGGAGTTTTCAGTTAGCTGCGATCAGAGACTGGTGGCCATATTGGTCTGTGGACGGTAGTGAGGCATTCAAGCTGTCGTACAGCATCCAAGACTCATGGGCTTGTGTAGTGGGGTTGGGTTGGGAGTCGAACCCCGGACCAGCGGTGTAAGACTGGGGAGCTGTGGTGGTCTCGCCCCAGTAACCAAACCCGTCATCTTTGCTTTGGAAGAGCGGGAAATCCCGGCCTCCCACGGGGGACCGTTGGCTGCGGAATCCCTTCATTGCCGAACGCTGCTTCATGTAGTTGGCGAACTCGGTCGGGGAGAGCTGCTGGAAATTGACCTTCTTGCCCGCCGACTTGAGCTTGGTGGAGCCGAACTTGGTCTGGGCGAAGGATGCCGCAGTGAAGGTAAGAGATGAGGGTCTGGAGAGAGGGGCTGCTTGTAGCCGAGGCTTGCCTGTGACTGGGGTGGGGGTGGGGACGACAGGGGGCATCGGGTGGAGAGCCTGAGGGTGGGGGAGGTGCTGATGATGGTGTGGAGTGGGGAGTCCCAGTGGCACCATCGGCTGGAACCCCAGAGCAGACACTGGCGATAGTGAGATCCCTCTCATGGAGGAACTCAGTGAGTCCATTGTCATGGGCAGGAAATCCTCAGCCTCGGGGTTGAAATTGAACTGGCCCGAGCCGGTCAGATCCGGCTCGCTCTGGACGTGGCTGGGCCCGGCTGCCTTCGGGCGCTTCTCCTGGTAGATGACAGAGACAGTTCCCTTCTCTCCCATACGGAAGGACACCTCTCCGGGGTCCACCCAGATGCTCAGCTCATGCGGAAGTGCCTCGGTCAAATCTCCGGTCTCTAGCCCACTGCGCTGGATAGCCGTAGCCACTGCCGCATCCATCTCCCTGGTCCCGATGCGAAGACACCGATATCCCGAGCCTTTACAAGGCGACTCCGGGTACCAGTGGCCGTTGAATTTGTTGACCAGGGATTTGTCCAGCTCTTCGGCGAAGAGGTCCTGCTGTTGGCGGGGGATCTTGGAGCAAAGTTGCTCCAAGATGAAGGTGATAGCGCATTGGATTTCTGCCTTCATGTTGGTTGGGGTGGTGGGGTATAATCAGTGATGACAGACTTCAGCGTAAACCTGCAGTGAGAAGGACGAAAAAAAAATTCCCAATAAATAACTGACAATCTTGGCAAATATAGCTATTTCCATCATTCAGAAAATCTGCTGTCATCCAGCAACACGACTGTATTGATAAAGGGCTCCCTTCATGGATGACAGGATTATCAAGACGTTTACAAGGGGACAATGCAATAACATAATCATGACCAATGTATGACAATATCAATACCGGTATCACTTTTCATACAGTGACCGAGTGCAGCTTTTCCCTTTCATTATTACAGTTTCACAACTCCAAACCAATTCGTTTACTTTCCTAACCATTTTAAAACCCTTTAAAAGTTATTTTACCATATCTTTAAAGTTTGTGAGTAAGCCATTAAACCTGACCTAGTTACTTCATATGATTCTCATTCGCACGCGGTGCAAGGACTACCCTGGACCCATGACACATCGCGACAACCAGGGACACGGACCTATGCATGTGATTCACTGCTTCCCTACCTACCCCCCCCCCCCCGGCCCCCCTCGGCCCGCCTCCCCCGGAGCCCATTCACAAAATGACTCTTCCCTGGATTAGCCTCTGACACGTGCCCTTTACAACGCTCCCTACCCGGCGGTAATGAGCAAGGCACGACGCCACAAATGAAAAGAGACTTGAGTGGGAGGCTAAGAAATGACTCGGCCGTCCAAAAACAGCCCCTCAAGGAAGCCTTATTCATCGGCGCTTGTCTCCGAGGATTTTCCAGCGCCAGGTTTGCTCATATTAAAGGTCGCATGCGGTGCCAACACATTTGGAAATTTCACTAGAGTTAAAAAAAAAAATTACCCGAGGCTTACGGTAGCCATGATGTGACAGAGGTCTCTGATCGTGACTCGTTCAAGGTGATTCTATTTTTAAAAAGCTGTTATATTCTAAACGAAGTTGCTTGCAAATTTTCTATGATGTTTTGTTTTCAACATTTTGATCTCAGAGAATGTTCACGAGTGTTCGTCAATTCTGTAATGGATACCTAATGAAAAACAACAGATCTTAATCATCCAAAAAGGATATCAAAAAAGGATATCAAATGATTTCATTTGAATTCGGCATGATCACTCAGTCATAATACATTAACGCTTTAGGTTACTACAATAAAATTAACACCCCGCGGGCCAAGGGAAAACCGATAGCAAATAAATAATGTTTTTCCTGTAGGTTAATATAATTTCCTTAGACATTATCAGCGAAACAGCACCTTCAATTTTAAGCCACCGTGGATAAAATCAAATCAGCCTGTTGATTTTTTTTCTCCATATAATACACAAACCATAAATACACCAATGTAAAACAGCTGTTCCTTTGTTGTCGTGTTACTGAAATCCATCGCTCATTATTACAGACAATATTCAAACTATGTCACGGCAAAATATTATTCCAAAATGCTATACACACAGTATGCGCTCCATATGGCACAGCGCATGAACGCACAAAGCGTGGGAGTATTTTTTTTATCCGACCATCGTAACGCAAATCCACTGTAGCTAGCCGCGAGCTAGCCGGAATCCCTGCGTGCGGTCGACTATTCAACAAAATATTGGCCTTCCCTCAAACCCACACACACACAATTAGTACCTTCAACACTTTGATGCGAAAATCCCGAAGTATAATTCAAATTCATTGCAATCATTGATATATATTTTTATATTTTAATAAAACAGAATCCAATTCAATACTGAGAGGAGAGTATTATTATAATGCAGATAATAATCGATTTCTATTTTTATCCAAGTTTTACCGTATATTTATTGTGATATGATATTGACATTGATTTTAAAAAAAAATCGTTTCAAACATAGCACTCCAGAGTAAATTGAAAGGGGGCTGGGGTTACCCCAAATATTTGTCACCTTTTTTGTAAAATATCTAAATGCACCATACATTAGCGAGGATGCCCATTGGCCGCATTACTGGAAACAACATAGGCTATATTCAAGAATTGCAACAACAATTTATAGGCCCATTCAGAAAAGTATAAAAACAAAGCAAAGTATGAAACGAAAACATTGTAAACCCGAATGCAAAAAAAAAGAAACAAAAAATATTGAAACATTAATTTTATTTTAAAAAACAGTACTCACTTGTTTACAGTTCGAATGCAGAGATCCACACCGACACGAAAGCACTATGGATGGAACAGCTGCGATGTAAGTCGTGAAGGCAGGGCGCGTGTTTGTGTGATATTCCAAGTGTGTGTTGCGGTTTTTTTACGTTGTCAGTGAGCGTACTGACGTCTGGCCATTGAATGTCACCTGCATGGGAATTGTGCCTGTTTTTATCCACTGTCGCTGGCCCATTGACGGGACTACTTTATTAATAATTCGCGAGTGACTACACCATCTGGACTGTGACACAATATACATGTACTTGTGCGTTATCGTCGAGGATAACGATTTTAAAGGTTTGTTTCAACAACACACGAGACCGGAAAAGAGATTAACAGAACACAAAGGCCCCTGATTCTCGGAGAACGGACGGCAAAAGCTCGACAAATCGTGTGAAAGAAAGCAGGGCTAAGTAGTTTTTTTAATGCGATGTTTTAGGGGAAGTTATGAGGTAGCGGATTAATACAGACCTGCTTTGAAATTATGAATATGCAACGAAGGAAGGAAGAGACACTGTCAGTGATTGGTCGTCGGGAGCGGAAGCATAATTTGACAATTATCTTGTTATGCTGACGTCAGTATGCGGTGTTTTCAAGCCGTGTGTGATTGTTGTGTGTATACCGTGAGGATGGGGGTCAGCGCGGGCCGTCGGCGGCCCGTGTGCATGCCGAGCAGACCGCAGCACGTGCTGGGCAAACACCGGCTGAAATCCTTCTCACCGTGATTACTATGCTAATTCGTGGCCCGCGCTTGCCACGTGCCACGGGGTGCAAGTGCGGGGATTGTTTGGGGGGGGGGGGGGGGATTAACAGGACGATGCTGGGAACAAAGGTGGGAACTTCCGCTTAGGGTACATGCCCGGAGGCACTGGGATGGACCATAGAGCAAGGAACGGACATTGTTTGCATTGTCAAACTTCCAAAACACTGTCTCCGGAACTTGAACACATTCGCTCACTTCGCCTGGTATACACGAATTCATCTGCAGCCCATCTGAACAAAATCCTTTTCCGTCTGCCTGTATCCGAGAGCTTTTCCAATCTTTCTTATTCTAATTATAAGGTTGAACAAAGAAATTGACAGGAACGGTAGGCCTATGAACATGCGACCTCCGAACAGCGTACCGGCGCTCTTATGAATAAACCAGCTCTATATTATGATTGAAACCATTTTTTACAATATCTTACAACCATCTTAGAAGTTAGATAATAATTATACCTATTAAAAACTGCACCTCTGTAGGCGAAGTCAACCCAATCCATGCGAATGCCATATGGTGAAACCTTGCCCTAGAAGTTGGTACGTACCAGTATACTGCAGCGATATTACTTCCGTTCTGTGGATAACTCGTTAAAATATTCACCTCCTTTGTTTAATTATTTCAAGGTTTTCATCAAGAGATCGATATCGATGACTATCTATCACAATATTGAGGGATTCTGTTAACATCCGTCAAAAATAATTCTATGCAGTTTGATCTATACGCTTAGCCGTATACATTCATGTACATGTATTAATGGGTATTGTTTGTTCAAACGAGGTGTGGAATTTATTCCAAAATCAATTTTGGAAAATAATTGATCGGGTGTGTACATGAAGTGAGTTTAAGTTTGCTTATATAACTTTCATTATAATACTTGCCATCTTTTTCACCATCTCGTCCACCTGTAGTTATTATTTCACCACAATCACCAACCATGTCACCATTATCATACCCATCATCACTTCTACTATTCTCACCACAATCACCGCCACAACACTACTGTTATGTTCATTTTACATCTTAAGATCTAGATTGTCAAGAGACTTGTAATGTACAATTACTGGGAATCGATGCTTGTCCATATAGTGTTTATTTGTAATTGTTGAGGCTCAAAATGACCACACATTCATTTTAAAGATGTTTTTCAGTCTCTTATGACTAGCATCTCCGAACTCGGTTTGGAAGTTTAAAAAAAAAAGAGAAATCGATAAAAAATAAACCAACCCCCTCCCCCCGCTGTGCGAAGTGTCAACACAAATCTTTAGGAGGTATTTATGGGGCTTCGTTTTCTGCAGGGACAAGTCATTGACATCATTGGCATTTCCCGAATTATGATCTTGAGCGGATGCGGCGAGAACCCGCGGCGAAATGCACGCAGGAAGAAAACAAGGTTGTTTTCAATTCCGCTCTGCCTTGAAAAACAAGTAAGTGCGTAATCGGTGCGAGGGACGACGTGCATCGTAACACGATTGCCGGCCGGTCTGACGTCAGTACGGCGTTCCCGTATAGACGCGGTCCTCGGCGCGAGCCACGACGGCCAATCAATGGCCGGGTTATTTTTAGCCGCGTGGTATTCGCCGTGTGTGGATACGAGGCGAGCAAGCAGCGCGGGGAGTTATGAGGAGGCAGTGTCTCCCGCTGATGATGTCAGAGGACCAAAGATGTGCGTCTGTAGTGAGTGTATATCTCTAAGCCATTGCTGGGTTATTAATATCACGGTCTATGGGCTTTCCAGTTGTTGGGTATAAATATCATTTAGCAGGCCCGGTTTACGGTTCAACGGAGGTGTATTTCTAGGCCAACGGGCCGTTATTATTGGGCACGGACAGGGACGGATTCTTTTTATATCCGGCGGAAGCAGAATTCCAAGAAGGGACTTGTTTGTTTGGAAGATGGGAAATAGATTCATGAGTGTTAGGCTACAGGGGGACAGAGGATTACCTTTAAGTGTTGTAATGAAAGTGTCTATGCGCTGGCTAATGCGCCGTTAATGAAAATTTGTGACAAAATAAACACAACTCATCTCACGTAAGCTCGGCCGATAAAGAATTAAGACTATAGCTCCTTGCATGCTTGACAAAAACCAGAGGGAGAAGTGTTGACATTAACGTGCACTATAGGTTAGTACATCTTAGTTACAAGTGCCTTTATATCAATGTTCTCTGCAATTCTTCCACAAATCGATCAGTTAAAGTGATTGCTATTTTGGGAGGTTTTCAACACAAGAGTTTTCAGGAATTCGATCCTCTAAACTGGAATTTACTGAGTTGCCCATGCATATCGTTTGGAAGGAATGGACGTTTTGACAAGACCAGTACACAAACCACATGCTGAAAAAATATTCCACCTCTCATTTTCCCCTCCTTCGCCAAATTGATTCAGCCACGCCCCATTCCTTTATCTTTAATAGTCTTTGCTCTTTGTTACCACGCATCTTCTGCGAACAAAGCAATGGGCACCATTTTCTCCATGTCGATCCTGTCTTTGTTGGAAGAGAACGTCAATTTTTTGTTTTTCTGTCTCGATCATTATCACTCTGCTTCGCTGCCATGCACGTGCCAACCAATTACTTTTAAGTGTGTGCTCCAGCGTTATAATATACACTGGTCACTTTTTTTTCAACATCCGTGCATTATCCCTTCGCACAAAATGCAAATTTGTTGGATGTTATCCCGCCGAAGAGTCAATTAGGCCTGTGTAGAGGTGAGGCGTGGTCTGGATAGGTGGCCTGGACATAAAGTATAGCCGTATGGTTGGTCCGTCTGCATGCGACCATAATGGTGATTACACGGGGTTTCGCAGAGAGGAAAATAAGAAGGAAAAAAAAAGGAAGGTTGCGGGTTCTTTGTTCGTCACAGCTCCCAGAGTTGTGCACAGTTTGGGAATCCCAGATGCTTGGGGAGACATTTTTTTGAGGTGAGATTCCAGAAACTGGAAGATTTATGTGGAGCTGAAAGTTACAAAAAACTGAGAGACACACTAGCAGGCGATTGTTTCATCCTGGGTAAAAAGGGGGTTATTACTGTACTAATTCAGGAGGTCAGAACCTATAGTCGGTTTCCATTTGGGGTCTATTTGGTGTTCTATAAATTATTATTTACAATATAAAGACTGATTCGAAGTCAATGAATGTGGTGGATTCTATGTTCGCATTAGCAGTCAGGCTTTGTCATAAGAGCCATCACGTATTGATGTTACTTTTTTGCGTGGGCAGCTCAACTATCCGCCTCCAACAACATTATTGAGTTATGAATTTAGACTTTTGAAAACTTTGTGCACAATGACCAGAGCCTGCAGTTCTCGCTTGAAAACTGCGTCGTATAATTATAATTACGACAAGTTTGAATCCAACCGCGAGAACTGGGAGTTTAAAAAAAGCGGTCCAACCATCTGGCTAGCTAGCCTAGTGAGATGAGGCGGGCCTGGGACCGCGTGGCCGGGCCTAGCCTGCGTGCAGGGGCCGGCTAAATCCAACGACCCAGTTAGCTCCGCACCGCTCGCTTAATAACTCCCCTCGCCCACTTCTATTCACCGCATGCCAGCTGACAGCAGCCTGTATATCGCGAATGGGAACATGCATCGGGACAAAAGACGGTCCGCATTACAGAAGGATCATCACCACTAGCTCCCAACGCCTGCAAACTCTGTCAGATTGTTGACCTTTCAGGAAGCTTTTCTCTCTCTCTCTCCCAATAAATCCTATTTTAATCAGCTTTTCTCCAAGCACTCCTTCTGAAAGGACTGGGGGAGCGGAAGGGTCAGCTGCCGGCAGCTTCAGGCCTACTGTGCCCGCTGGGGGCTGCACCCTCTAGGGTATTATTCTTCCCAATCCGCAACAAAGCCAACATTATTCTCGTTAGCAGGCTTGAACTCTTCTCTTTCTCTCTGACACTGCAGTCAAAAGCCAGTGCCTTTTAAGGTTTATGTCGGGAGAGGACAGGTGCGGTTGTGGCTTGTCCATTTGGGAAAACGAATTTCGTGGCCGCCTTTAAAATGGTACTTATTATGTTTATCCTGAAAAGTTTGCCGTCACACGCGTGTTCTCAACAAAGTCGCAACTATCGCGTTTTAAAAATAAATTCACACTCGCTATACGCGGCACCAGCAGCTGCACTTTTTTTTCGGCAGACAGGTTTAGAGTTCACATGGAATGGCTTTTCGTGAATTGCAAATTATCTTGACTGAACTAAAAAAATAATCCCTGAACAAAGGGCAAACTTTGTACGGGTGAAAACTGACTCCCGCGCGCGTTTTTCCCAATGAATTCCTTGTGTTCAAATTGACATTTTTTTAAAACGTATATCGCTGTAATATTTTATACTCAAAGTAATTGACCTTTATAATAGTGTATACGCTAAGGAAAAACTGCGTTAAATTTTATTAGAGTTAGACGAGGTAAGCATTGTGCTGTACTTTGTGTATAATTTCAAAAACTGAAAGAATTATCTTCAGATAATTATCTCCCGCTTAAATGTAGACGTTATTTGACGCTGGAAAATATCACTGTCCTTTTAAAGTCGTTTCCGCAAAGACGTACTTTAGCCTCAATAAATGCACAGGGTTTTTTTGCAACCGCGTATTTTCCGTTTTCCCAAGATGTAAAATTTGGTTTTTCTAATTCTCCAAACGGGATAAGAGTTAAGTCTGGGGATGTCTCACAGGAAGAAGATTATTTAA